GGTCATAGGATGCAGCACATGGTGGCCCACTGGAATGCTGGGGGTACAAACAACAGGAAGGTGGCCGTGGACTCCTCCATGCCTAGAAGCTGGTCAGGAAGCCGCCCTCATCACCACTCGAGTGCACAAGATGAGGAAGCGGCAGATGGACTGGCGAGGGGACTTCCTGAAGCCCCATCTGTTCCTTTTTCTCCACCGCACCACACTTCCCATCCAGTTCCCAACCTCCACGCCCCACTCATTTCCCCGACATCCAGATGGGCCGTTTTGCATCTCCATTTTTATTGAAATACAAAAAGTGCAAATGGTGAAATACATGATTGGTGCCAAGGAAGTCATTAAGTGTGAATGTGAACACTGGATTCACAGTACAAGCGCCCCTTCCCTAGGGTACAGACCAGTGGGGGCATGAGAAAGACCAAATAGATCCGAAAGGCTCCCCAGTGAATGGGGCTGTGAGTGACACTTGATACACAAAGGAGGGCGGAGAGCAGAGCAGCCCTGGATGAGGCTAGAGACCAAGGGACTGATGGAGAACCAGCAAAAGCCCAGGCCCCAGGGGGCTGAATGCGCTGCCGATGGTCTTGGGAGAGCCCAGCGAAGTTACACCCAGGCCCAGCCTGGTTTGTGGATGGGGCTGGGCTGGTCAGTGAGGATTCCCACAGTATGGGCTCTGGAATTGTCCTGCCTGGCCAAGATCGTGGGGGCAGGGTCACTGCAGGTACTTCCCTGTACTCCTCAAGGACAAGACTGCGGGAACAGGAGTCCCCAGGAAGGAGTGTAATTCTTTGAGACAGTGGGAGTGAGAGATCAGCCATCACTGGGGTCGAGGTTCTTTGAAAGACAACAGGGCTGGCCAGGTACGGTGGCTCACGCCTGTAATCCCAGCACTTTGGGAGGCTGAAGTGGGTGGATCACGAGGTCAGGAGATCGAGACCATCCTGGACAACATGGTCAAACCCTGTCTCTACTAAAAATACAAAAATTAGCCAGGCATGGTGGCGTGCACCTGTAATCCCAGCTATTCAGGAGGCTGAGGCAGGAGAATTGCTTGAACCGGGAAAGCAGAGGTGTGCCAAGATTGCGCCACTGCACTCCAGCCTGGCAACAGAGTGAGACTCCATCTCAGAAAAAAAAAAGTGGGGGGCCCTAGAGCCCATTAATCTCCTGGGGAAATTGCTAGAACCCACCTATCTGGGCTGATCTATCAGCACAATCTCTGCCCCTCCTATGGGCACTCACAGCCTCTACCCCAGCCCCTTTAAGAGTCCCCCAGCTGGAGGAAGGAGCCACAGAGATCCTAAGGCACTGAGTCACCTCTGGCCGGGGCAGGGGCCAGTGTGACTCCACAACAGACAGGTCCACAAGAACCTGAAGGCTGATGATCTGCCCGTGTGGGAAAGGAGGCCAGGAGGGGAGAGGCTGACCCGGCCAGTCACTGATCCCACCGCACACTGTAGCTCTCAGGGGCGGGAAGGTGGAGAGGGAGGTTTCAAGTGGATGCTGGGACTCTGAGCACTGTCATCCAAGCTACCAGTCCCAGCAGAACCAAGGGGTTAGGACACCCCAGGGGCAGTATCACTTGGGAAAGGCTGACCCAGGATGTGTGGAAGAGAAGGAGGCAGAAAGCAGACACAGGCTCCAGCCCTGTCACTCCTCAGCAGGGGAAATACCCCAGACTGAGCTGCTGGGGGCAGTATAGGAGCAAGGGTGCCTGCACTCAGGCCTTCATGCAGTGGGACTTCTGCAAAGCAGGGCAGCCTACCAGACAGGGAGGCACCTCAGCTTGGGGCAGTGTCCACACCAAGGAGCTCAGCTGCTCATTCCCAGCAATCCAGAGGGGAGGAGCGGCCCCTGCTACCAGCCCAGCCGGCAGTGATTTGATTCATCCACAGTTGCCAGGGAAACAGAGGCAGAAAAAGCAGGAAAAGGGTTACTGGGGCTCAGTCCTTCTCCAGTTAGAAGAGCCAGGCCCAGCTCTGGAGAGCCCAGCAAAAGCCAGGTGTCCAGAGAGGCAGTGAGAAGTGTAAGGCGAAGAAAAACGTCTTCTGGTAACAGCGAGGCCGCCAGGGCCGTGAGGCGGGCTGGACAGAGGTGGGGGAGGGCATGCCTGATGGGCGGCTCCAGCATCTCCAGGGGGCATCATGGCCCCTGATGCCAGGGGGAAGAGTCCAAACCCGGGCTACCAGAAAAGGGTCTGGTGGGGCAGGGGCCAGGTTCAGAGCCCCCTGGGGTCCGGGCTAGGGAACAGCTCCCCTTGGTGATCCAGAAGGAACTTGGTGAAGGTGTTGATGGGATTAATGGCCTTGAGGGTAATGGCTGCATCCTTGGCCCACAGCAGGTTAGGGCCGAAGACCACAGCCAGGTTAGTGTTGGTCATTTTGTTCTGGTCACTGTGTGCAGAAACCTGTGGAGGGAATCAGGGACTGCAGCAGAAAGCCACAGATGCTGCCTCCCACTCCCAGCAACCACAACCAGGGCGCAGAGGAGGCGGCAGCTCCTCCTTCCCCCTCCCTTCACCCCAGAGGCCAAGTCCAAGGTCTCACCTGCACCAGGAAAGCAGTCAGGAAACGAAGCACCTGGTAGTTCTCCTCGGGCAGCGTCTGGAGGACCTGCAGCGTCTCTGCCACCCTCTGGCTCTCATCAATGTCTATGAGGAAAGGGGGCCCAGGTTACAGGGGCCCTGGGCTGGGCTGGTTCAGGACGCTCTGACGCAGGCTAGAGGGGAGACCCCCCAGCAGTCTTCCCTGGGAGGCACCTAGGCCCGAAAGCCTGCAGCGCACCTGCCCTAAGTCCAGCCCCAGGCCCAGCAGAAGAGAGGGGGACTCACTGAGGAAGCCCACCACATGGGGGTAGAGGTCAAAGGTGAGCAGGGGCTCAGGAAGCTCCCGGAGGAAGGTCTTGAGGATGACTGCTGGCAGGTGCAGCTCATTGTACTGGTCGAAGTCCACAGGCAGCCCTGGGGTGGGGGCAGCGTGAGAGAAGCTCGGCGCAGCCTGAAGGGCAGCACCCATCTGCAGACAATGCGGGCCGCACTGCCTGACTGCCCTTGGACCCTGCACAAGCCCCTCTGACACCTGCCTCCCTCTTCCTCTGTGACCAGAGAATGCAGGTTCCAGCCATCTGGGGCGAGTGGGGCCTGGCCCACCCCACCGTTATTCCTCACCTCTGAATGTGCCTATATCCAGGACCCGGGAGCCCAACCGATAAGGCAGCAGGCCTGGCAGAAGGGGGACTTACGTGACACCAAGTGCCACGGAAACCTCCAGCAGGAAGAGACTCTGAGACCCTCATTTACAGGGCAGCAGAGGGCAGAGAAGCCCCTACCAGTCACACACACACATGGCCCTGCCACAGCCCAGGGCCGCTCACCCATGTTGTACTTCTGCTGCACTTCCCGGACCACTTGGGTGTTGGCCGACCTCCGGAAGATGCCCTCGGTGGTGAGAGCTGGGAAATATTAGGGCCTGGTGAGCCTCCAAGCGCTGGGCACCGGCTGGATTCCCTGCCCCTTCTCTGTCTTGGGGTTCTAGGCAGGGCTGGGTGGGGGTGTTGAGGCTTGCAGGACCTCCCTCTGCCCTGCCCAGCAGCTGCCCCAGCTTCCTGAGGGGAGCCGGGAGACCTGGCTAGTGAGGAGGCAGGCCTGGCACTCACCGTGGGCCTGTAAGTAGGCAACAGTCTCCCTGAGCACAATGGGAATGGGCTCCTGCTCTGGATTCTTCTCCTGGAGGCTGCGGGAACAAGGCTGGTGAGCCGGGCCTGCAGCCCCTCCCGGCCGCCACGGCCTAGCCACCTTTCATACTCACTGCTGCAGCGAGACTCCAAACTGCTGGTTGGGCAGGGGGGGCCGTGGGGGCATGGGCTTGGGGGCTGTCGCGGGGCTCTTCTGTGTGGATTTGAGGAAGTCATCATATCTGCAGGAGTAGAGGGAGGTGGGTCAGGCCCTGCCTGGCTCTGGAGTCGCTCTGCCAGTTCAATCAAGCATTGACCACGCGGGGTCAGGAGGATCGTCTCATGCGATCTCCATTAACAACTCCACTTTCCACAGCAGCAAAGACCTGGGAGAGGTCGGGACACGGGCTTGCTCTGCCTAAGCCCCACGCGGTCTCTGAATCAGGACACGCATCCTCGCGACCCTGGCTTCACGAGCGCCCGGCCGCCGCACCCGCCTCACTTGAGCACTTGGCGAGGGATCCCCAGCTGCTCCAGCTTCACGTGCTCGCTCAGCTCACTCAGGTAATTCACGTAGAAGATCTTCTGCCCGAACTTGAAGCTGTTGGTGGAGGAAAAGGCCTGGGTTGTGGGGACCCCTTCCGGTGGCCTCTACTGTCCCCTCAACACCAACCCAGTTCAGACCGAAGCCCAGCCGCCCCTGGTGGTCCCCAGGCTGCCCAGCCTCCTGGCTTCAGAGTTCCAGGCAAGCCAGGACCACCGGCCCTGCCCATGGCCACTCACCTGATGAGGGGCTTGAAGAGGATGAGCAGAGTTTTGATGAACATGGTCGGATGCACAATGTACAAGGCCTTGATGTTCTTCTTATACCTGCAGAGGCAGAAGGGACAACTCAGGAGCAGGCGTGGTAGGACAGGCACCATGCTAGGGTCCTGGTGCATACTTTTTTTTTTTTTTTTTTTGAGACAGAGTTTCCTTCACCCAGGCTGGAGTGTGATCTCAGCTCACTGCAGCCTCCACCTCCCGGATTCAAGCTATTCTCCTGCCTCAGCCTCCTGAGTAGCTAGGATTACAGGCATCCACCACTACACCTAGCTAATTTTTGTATTGAGTAGAGACGAGGTTTCACCATGTTGGCCAGGCTGGTCTTGAACTCCTGACCTCAAGTGATCCGTCCGCCTCGGCCTCCCAAAGTGCTGGGATTACAGGTGTGAGCCACCGCGCCCAGCCTCAGTGCATACTTTCTGATTTGAACACACATGGCCAGCATGCGAGGTAAGGGTCTCATTTTACAGCAGAGTCCCCCTCTCTTCTGCTGGGTCTGGGGCTGGACTTAGGGCAGGTGCGCTGCAGGCTTTCGGGCCTAGGTGCCTCCCAGGGAAGACTGCTGGGGGATCTCCCCTCTAGCCTGCGTCAGAGCGTCCTGAACCAGCCCAGCCCAGGGCCCCTGTAACCTGGGCCCCCTTTCCTCACAGACATTGATGAGAGCCAGAGGGTGGCAGAGACGCTGCAGGTCCTCCAGACGCTGCCCGAGGAGAACTACCAGGTGCTTCGTTTCCTGACTGCTTTCCTGGTGCAGGTGAGACCTTGGACTTGGCCTCTCGGGTGAAGGGAGGGGGAAGGAGGAGCTGCCGCCTCCTCTGCGCCCTGGTTGTGGTTGCTGGGAGTGGGAGGCAGCATCTCCCACTGTCCCATTTTACAGATTAGAAAACAGGAGGCTCAGAGAGGTTAAGTAAAACAAGAGGTCAGAGTGCGAATAAGCTGAGAAACGGCTTTAAGCCCAGGGTGATCTGACTGCAGATTCTTTTCGTTGACGTAGATGGCAGCCCCCGCCGCCCCCTGCCTTGGAATAAGCTCATGCCCAAGTGGAGGGCAGCCCGGAAGCTGGCAGAGCCGCTGCCTCTGGATCTGCCTGTGCAGGCCCCATGCCCCAACCCACTTGCGGTCAAACTCCCGGTAGGCGTCACGGAGCCAGCTGAGGGAGGGCTTGTTGTCACTGGTCAGGCCATGGTGCAGATACAGCAGCGTGTAGTCGCTCTCCACATACTGGTCCAGGGTGTGCTTCAGGTACCTTCCAGGGAAAAGCCCTGCTCAGGCCTGCCCTGTGCATAGGGGCGGCCCCGTGAAGACAGAAAGCAGCCCCAGGGGTCTCCCGCCATGTCACAGCCCCTTCCCCACGGCCCGCCCCTAGCACAGTCTGTTCTGGCTCATAATCAGTCACCAGGTTCCCGTGGAGGAGACCCAGGGTAGTGGCTGGGGGGAGGAATGACAATAATAACAGCTCTCGGGCCGGGCGCTGTGGATCATGCCTGTAATCCCAACACTTTGGGAGGCCGAGGCGGGTGCGTCACCTGAGGTCAGGAGTTCCAGACAAGCCTGGCCAACATGGTGAAACCCCATCTCTACTAAAAATGCAAAAATTAGCCGAGCATGGTGGTGCATGTCTGTAATCCCAACTACTCGGGAGGCTGAGGCAGGAGAATCGCTTGAACCCAGGAGGCGGAGGTTTCAGTGAGCAGAGATTGTGGCACTGCACTCCAGCCTGGGCAACAAGAGTGAAACTCCGTCTCAATAATAGTAATAATAATAACAGTTCTCACTCTTGAGCAGGAACTAGATGTCAGGAGACCAGGACCCTAACCCAGGCACTCCTAGGCCTGCAGCGAAAATGGGAATGACGTTTCCCCTGAATCAGGATTTCCCTGAATCAATAATGATGACAGTCACCATTTCTCAATATTAAGCTTTTAGTGTCTGCCAAGCACTTCGCATACATTATCTCATACCTTGCTTATAACTGAGGCTGATGTAATCCCCATCCTACAAATGGAGGCAATGACCAGAGAGGTCAAGTGCTGATCCAAGGTCACACAGCCTGTGGTAGATCCTGGAAGTGAAGTGTCTAACACCAAAGCCTGCCTTTTTTTTTTTTTTTTTTTTTTTTTTTTACAAGGTCTTACTGTCATCCAGGCTGGGGCACAGTGGCATGATCACAGCTCACTGCAGCCTTGACCTCCCAGGCTTAAGCTTTCCTCCTGCCTCAGCCTCCTGAGTAGCAGGAACCACAGGTGTGAGCCACCATCCCCGGCTCATTTTTTCAGTTTTTATTTTGTAGAGCCAGGTCTCACTATGTTGCCCAGGCTGGTCTTGAGTTCCTGGCCTCAAGTAATCCTCCTGCCTCAGCCTCCCAAAGTGCTGGGGGATTATAGGCATGAGTCACTGCACCCAGTTGAAAGCCTGCATTCTTGACCACGGGACAGCTTTGCCTTTTACACACAAACTCCAGCGCCGGTGGTAAAACACTGTGCCCATGAGAGGGGATGGGGTGGCCAGAGAGTCACCTGCTCCAGTCACTGGGCCTTTAGTGGACCAAAGAGCCCCAACTCCTCTGGTTCCCTATTATGCTCATAACACGCTATCTACGAGCTCAGCACAAACATATACACACCTGGTGTTGAGCACACTGAGAGGTATGGATGGAATGAACAAGAACTGGGGAAAGGGAGGGGGGTGCATGTAAAGCCCTCTTCCTTTTTTTTTTTTTTGAGATGGAGTTTCACTCTTGTTGCCCAGGCTGGAGTGCAGTGGCGCAATCTCAGCTCACCGAAACCTCCGCCTCCCGGGTACAAGCGATTCTCCTGCCTGAGCCTCCCAAGTAGCTGGGATTATAGGCATGCGCCACCACACCCAGCTAATTTTGTATTTTCAGTAGAGATGGGGTTTCTCCATGTTGGTCAGGCTGGTCTAGAACTCCCGACTTCAGGTGATCCGCCCGCCTTGGCCTCCCAAAGTGGTGGGATTACAGGCGTGAGCCACTGTGCCTGGCCATAAAGCCCTCTTTCTAGTTGGCCAAACAGCTCCTAGGCTCCCAAAGGGACACTACTCCAGGCTGGGAGGCTAGGCAGACAGAATGCTAAGGACTTCCAAGGGGAGGCAGGGAAGGAGAGAAGCCTGGTGAAGTGGCCAGAGCTTGACCTAACCCAGAGAGAGTATGCTCAAAACTGGCCCATGGGTGCCAGGCTGTGCTAACACAGGCAGGCGTGGGGTGGCTGATGCTGGGATCCCCAGTACGTGGTCATTTACCGCTTCTCCACACTGAGCACTGCAGTTTACAAAGAGCTGTAGCATAAAGAGATTGCATTTTGCAACTACAAAAATAGCAAAGATTGTAGTGAAAACAGATACTCTCATCCACTGACGGAGGTTATGGCCTTTTGTAGGGAAATAAAGTGATGTTTATCAGAAGCTATAAAATGCTCATACTCTCTGACCCTGTAAAAATATGTCTGGGAGTTTGTCCTAAGGAAAGAATCCGAGATGAACAGAAACATTTTTGTAGAAGGCTGTTCTTCATGGCCCATTTTATGATGGGGGAAAAAAAATCTAGTGTCAAGCTAACTGCAACAGCAGGGAATTGGTTAAATCAACCACGTGACAACCATACATAGAACAGCTCACAGGACATTTCTGCAGACAGAATGAATCTGTGAAGTCAGATGTCAGAACAGTGGTTATACCCTTTGTAGGGTGTGAGTGACACAGATGTGTTCGGGTTTTGAAAATTCACACAGTAGGCCGGGCGCGGTGGCTCAAGCCTGTAATCCCAGCACTTTGGGAGGCCGAGATGGGCGGATCACGAGGTCAGGAGATCGAGACCATCCTGGCTAACACGGTGAAACCCCATCTCTACTAAAAAATACAAAAAAACTAGCCGGGCGAGGTGGTGGGCGCCTGTAGTCCCAGCTACTCGGGAGGCTGAGCCAGGAGAATGGCGGGAACCCGGGAGGCGGAGCTTGCAGTGAGCTGAGATCTGGCCACAGCACTCCAGCCTGGGCGACAGAGCGAGACTCCGTCTCAAAAAAAAAAAAAAAAAAAAAAAAGAAAATTCACACAGTACACTTATAATGTATTCACTTTTCTGCCGGCATATTAGATGTCAATAAAAGGTTTTTTAGAAGATATCTTTGAAGAATGTTTAATGCTCAGAAAAAAAGTGTTATGTAAGATACAAAACCAGGCTGGGTGTGGTGCCTCACACCTGTAATCCTAGCAATTTGGGAGGCAGAGATGGGCAGATCACCGGAGGTGGGGAGTTCAAGACCAGCCTGGCCAACATGATGAAACCCTCTCTCTACTGAAAATACAAAAATTAGCTGAGTGTGGTGGTACACGCCTGTAATCCCAGCTACTTGGGAGGCTGAGGCAGGGGAATCGCTTGAACTCAGGAGGTGGAGGTTGCAGTGAGCCAATACCATGCCACTGCACTCCAGCATGGGTGACAGAGCAAGGCTCGGTCTCAAAAAAAATAAAAATAAAAAAGATACCAAACTGACTATACAGTTCCATATACATTATTTAAAAAATAGGAAATTACTACACAAAAATATTAACAGTAACTTTCTCTCTAGATGGTGAGTGTGTGGGAGACCTTTTATTTTTCAGTTATCTATATATTTTTTCTTTTTTTTTTTTTTTTGAGACAGAGTCTCGCTCTGTCACCCAGGCTGGAGTACAGTGGCCGGATCTCAGCTCACTGCAAGCTCTGTCTCCCAGGTTTATGCCATTCTCCTGCCTCAGCCTCCCGAGTAGCTGGGACTACAGGCGCCCACCACCTCGCCCGGCTAGTTTTTTTTGTATTTTTAGTAGAGATGGGGTTTCACCGTGTTAGCCAGGATGGTCTCGATCTCCTGACCTCGTGATCCGCCCGTCTCGGCCTCCCAAAGTGCTGGGATTACAGGCTTGAGCCACCGCGCCCGGCCCATCTATATATTTTTTCTTTATGGCTACATATATTTTTCTAAACTCTCTAAATTATAATGCTTTAAAAATGTACACAATGGATTTCATGTATATTCTTTTGTTTGTTTGTTTTGAGATGGAGTTTCACTCTTGTTGCTCAGGCTGAAGTGCAATGGCATGATCTTGGCTCACTGCAACCTCCGCCTCCCGGGTTCAGGTGATTCTCCTGCCTCAGCCTCCTAAGCAGCTGGGATTACAGGTGCCCGCCACCACACCCGGCTAATTTTGTATTTTTAGTAGAGACAGGGTTTCTCCATGTTGGTCAGGCTGGTCTTGAACTCCTGACCTCGTGATCCACCTGCTTTCGCCTCCCAAAGTGCTGGGATTACAGGCGTGAGCCACCATGCCCAGTCGTGTGTTCTTACCTAATGCCCACAACAACCCTGGGAGGTGGGCACAAGTCTTTTTTTGTTTGTTTGTTTGTTTTGAGACGGAGTCTCGCTCTGTCACCCAGGCTGGAGTGCAGTGGCCGGATCTCAGCTCACTGCAAGCTCCACCTCCCGGGTTTACTCCATTCTCCTGCTTCAGCCTCCCGAGTAGCTGGGACTACAGCGCCGCCACCTCGCCCGGCTAGTTTTTTGTATTTGTTGGTAGAGACGGGGTTTCACCGTGTTAGCCAGGATGGTCTCGATCTCCTGACCTCGTGATCCGCCCGTCTCGGCCTCCCAAAGTGCTGGGATTACAGGCTTGAGCCACCGCACCCGGCCTGTTTGTTTGTTTTTTTGAGACAAAGTCTCGCTCTGTCGCCCAAGCTGGAGTGCAGTGGTGGGATCTCAGCTGACTGCAACCTCCACCTCCCGGGTTCAAGCGATCCTTTTGCCTCAGCCTCCTGAGTAGCTGGGATTACAGGCGCACGCCACCATGCCCAGCTAATTTTTATGTTTTTAGTAGAGATGAGGTTTCACCATGTTGGCCAGGATGGTCTCAATCTCCTGACCTCATAATCCACCTGTCTCGGCCTCCCAAAGTGCTGGGATTACAGGCGTGAGCCACCATGCCCGGCCTCTTTTTTTTTGAGACAGAGTCTCACTCTGTCACCCAGGCTGCAGTGAAATGGCACGATCTGGGCTCACCGCAACCTCCGCCTCCCGGGTTCAAGCAGTTCTCCTGCCTCAGCCTCTTGAGTAGCTGGGATTACCCTGAGTAGCCGGGATTATAGGCCTGCACCATCATGCCTGGCTAATTTTTGTATCTTTAGTAGAGACGGGGTTTCACCATGTTAGCCAGGTTGGTCTCGATCTCCTGACCTCATGATCCTCCCGCCTCAGCCTCCCAAAGTGCCGGGACTATAGGCATGAGTCACCACGCCTGGCCACAAGTCTCATTTTTACAGGGCTTGGAAAAGACCTGCCCCAAGGCACGCAGCTAGCAGGAGGTGCAGAGCTGAAGTTGAATGTGTCTTCTGAATTTGATTCCAAGCTTCAGGCACTTTTTTTTTTGAGATGGAGTCTCGCTCTGTCACCCAGGCTGGAGTGCAGTGGCGCGATCTCCGCCTCCCGGGTTCACACCATTCTGCCTCAGCCTCCCGAGTAGCTGGGACTACAGGCACCCACCACCACGCCCAGCTGTATTTTTAGTAGAGACAGGGTTTCACCGTGTTAGCCAGGTTGGTCTCGATCTCCTGACCTCATGATCCGCCTGCCTCGGCCTCCCAAAGTGCTGGGATTACAGGCATGAGCCACCATGCCTGGCTGCTTCAGGCACTTTCTATTTCAACCTCCAGGATCCGGGTGGACAGCTGGGAAGAGCCACGTCTGAGATAATCTGACTGAAAACGGGACAAAGTGCTCCACGATGGAAGCACCCTGCTGCCCTCAGCAGGGACTGTGACCAGGACAGAAGTGATGGAGGACAAGCAGCAGCTGATGTCGAGGACTTCCTGAAGCCAAGGACGCCCCAGGGTGGGCGTGGCCTCCCCAGCAAGCTGTCTCCTGAAAACCAGGTGCTTTCTACCCCCACCCACGGACTTCCTCCCACTTCACTTATTATCTGGGCAGAAGGCTGTCACCTGGTACATCAGACACAGAAAGAACTACAGAAAAGGCCATGTGCCTCCTCTGCCAGCCCCAGGCCAAGCTCTTGCCCATTCTGGCTGGGCCACGCGGCGGGCTTGGACAAGGCTCTGCCTGCCTTGTGAGGAGCAGCGGGAAGAGCATTCAGAAGACTAGAGAGAGAGAATTCCTAGATGGCACTGGAAGACCCAGCTTGTGGCCCTGGCTTGCCAGGACTGGCTGAGACTCCCAATTCAGGCCCTTCCCCTTCTGCCGCTGCCCCCTGGGTCTGTCCCTCAGCTCACACTTCCTCCTGCTCGCACGCAACCATCCAGGATCTCAAAGAGCGGCTTGGGACAGTGCCAGAATTTTACATTTCAGAGTGCTTCAATCTGGTCAGGAAAGGAGTGCATCTTTCTAAAATTTACCAATAGAAAACAGAAAGCAGGGCAAGATGGTCTCACTCTACTACACACCCCGAGGACAACAGCAGGAGGTGAGTTTGCTCGCCTGTGAGCCCAGAGCTGGCTCAACCATAAACGGGTCTTTCAAGCCTCGGCATTCAACCAGTCTTCAGCCCTGAGTCAGGACGTGTCTGGACCGGCCAGAGTTATTACGTATGTTTGGCTCGCAGAACCCACGTTGGTACAGAAACCACTGACACTAAAGGCACAAAATAAGACAACACTAATGATTCTTATAAATGATAAACAACTGCATCCATCTCAGAAACACCACAGGATTATAATAGTCAATCCTCACATCTGGACAAAAGTCCTTCCTTTTCATATGCTGTTTCTCCTGTAAGGAAAGAGGCTTGTATTATTATCGCTTTTGAAAGGTGAGGAAAGCAAGGCTTAAAGATGCTTCCCAAGATCACCCAGCTTCAATAACTAGAAACTAGGTCTGACTCCTCGTCCAGTGCTCTCCCCTAAATATTAACCAGCTCCTTCATGAGAAGAGGGGAGGCATTAAGGCAGGTGGTCTAGCACCCACAGGCAGGGAGGGAAAGTAAAGAACGTGGCATTAGGCTACACTGGGGATCTGGGCAAAGCCCCAACGCACTTCCCAGCAGGTACTCACCCCAGGAGCTTGCTGTGGTCCAGCTGGTGGCTGGGGGGCATTCGACAGGCACTAAACACAATGATCTTCCGCCCATACTTGTCATCTCCTAGGTATGGAGAAAGACGGAGCGCAGTGGGTTGAAGGGGAACCAAAAGAAGTGGGGTGAGGAACTTAAAGGGGCCAGGCGTGCTGAGCTGAGCCAGTTACCACAGGGGCCAGAGCGCCCATGCACACAGACCTCTTGGCAGCCTCCTGCACTCAAGGGTGTGCCATTGAAGACAGAGACAGTTTGCTTTCAGGGTTACTGAGCTGGGGTATTTAAAAAAAAAAAAAAAAGTGATTTTTTTTTTTTGTGATGGGGTCTTGTTCTTTCACCCAGTCTGGAATGTAGTGGCGCAATCACGGCTCACTGTAGTCTCAATCTCCTGGGCTCCAGAGAGCCTCCTACTTCAGCCTCCCAAGCAGCCAGGACTATAGGTGAGCACCACCATACCTGGTAAAATTTTAAAAATTTTTTGTAGAGACAGATCTCACTATCTTGCCCAGGCTGGGTCTTGAGCTCCTGGCCTCCTCCTACCTCAGCCTCCCAAAGTGCTCGGCTTACAGACATGAGCCACCGCACCCAGCCAACATCACTTTTTAAAAAGTCATGCCGGCCAGGGGCAGTGGTTCACGCCTGCAATCCCAGTACTTTGGGAGGCCAAACCAGGGGGATCACCTGAGGTCAGGAATTACGAGACCAGCCCGGCCAACATGGTGAAACCGCATCTCTACTAAAAATACAAAAATTAGCTGGGTGTGGTGGTGCACGCCTGTAGTCCCAGCTACTCGGGAGGCTGAGGCAGGAAAATTGCTTGAACCTGGGAGGCAGAGGTTGCAGTGAGCTGAGCTGGCGCCACTGTACTCCAGCCTGGGTGACAGAGCAAGAGTGTCTCAAAAAAAAAAAAAAAAAGTCATGCCTGGTGCAGACAACCCAAATATCCCTCAGCGGATAAACGATGTAGTTAATCCATGCAATGGCATACTGTTTGGCCATAAAAAGGAATGAACTACTGATACATGCTACCATGTGAATGAACCTCCAAAACACTATGCCAAGTGAAAGCTGGTCACAAAAGGCCACCAACTCTATGATTCCAGTTACATGAGGCATCTAGATAGGTACGTGCATAGAGACAGGAAGCAAAGTATTGGTTTCCAGGTGCTGGGAGGAGGGGGAATGAGGACAGGTCGCTTGGTGGGTACAGCGTGGTATGAGTACGGGTGGTGAAAATGTTTTGGGATTAGATGGAGGTGATAACTGTATGACATTATGCACTAAGTATTATACCACTGAAATGTACACTGCAAACTGATGAATTTTGTTATGTGACTCTTATCTCAATTTTTTTTTTTTTTTTAGATGGAGTCTCGCTATGTCACCCAGGCTGGAATGCAGTGGCACAGTCTCGGCTCACTGCAACCTCCGCCTCCCAGGTTCAAGCGATTCTCCTGACTCAGCTTCCTGAGTAGCTGGGATTACAGGCGCCTGCCACCGTGCCTGGCTAATATTTGTATTTTTAGTAGAGATGGAGTGTCACCATGTTGGCCAAGCTGGTCTCAAACTCCTGACCTCGTGATCCACCCGCCTCAGCCTCCCAAAGCGATGGGATTACAGGCATGAGCCACCGTGTCCAGCTCTTACCTCAATTTTTAAAAAATGCTCACTAACGCATTCATGATCTTGCCAAATAGTCATAAGTCTACACTTTTCCATAAGCACCCCCACTGAGCAGTGTGTATTTGGAAAGCCTCTTGAAGTTACCTTCTCAGCATGTTTGAGGCCACTGAGGAAATCAGTCTGATTACTTAACAGTCATGTCTCATTTCTGACCACTGACAATCGCTTTCTGATTTTATTACTAGAATTTTTTTTAAGAGATGAGGTCTTGGCCAGGGGTGGTGGCTCACGCCTGTAATCCCAGCACTTTGGGAGGCCAAGGTGGGCGGATCACAAGGTCAGGAGATTGAGACCATCCTGGCTAACACGGTGAAACCCTGTCTCTAATAAAAACACAAAAAATTAGCCGGGCGTGGTGGTGGGCGCCTGTAATCCCAGCTACTAGGGAGGCTGAGGCAGGAAAATGGCATGAACCCGGGAGGCGGAGCTTGCAGTGAGCCAAGATTGCGCCGCTGCACTCCAGCCTGGGCGACAGAGCAAGACTCCATCTCAAAATAAATAAATAAATAAAAAAATAAAAGAGATGGGGGTTTCATTGTGTTGCCCAGGCTGTTCTTGAACTCCTGGCTTTAGGTGATCCTCTCACCTCAGCTTCCCAAGTAGCTGAGACTACAGGTGTGCACCACTGCACCCAGCTTATTACTAGAATTACGGACGACACTGGCTGATTGACTTCTGTAGATTTCTAAGCATTCTATCCTTTCTCATTAAGATATTCTAGGGCCCCCACCAACCCTTAAGACTCAACGCAGGCATAATCGCCTCCTGGAAACCTGTGTCCATGCCCTCTTTCCCCAGACAGGGTAGCTGCCCCTTTTCATGGTTCCCAGCATAAACCATCCCCCATCACTGTCTTGACCCTTCGCTCTCCTGTAGAATTGTTTATGTACCTGTCTCCCTGACAGGCTTGTGAGCAGCTCAAAGACAGAGGCTGTGTCTCATTGTCTTTGTTCTTTTTCTTTTTTTACTCCTGGCAAGCTGTGATTTTTTTTTTTTTTTTTTAAGAGACAGGGTCTCGCTCTGTCGCCCAGGCTGGAGTGCAGTGGCACAATCGTAGCTCACTACAGCCTTGAACTCCTGGGCTCAAACAATCCTCCTGCTTTAGCCTCCCACATCCTGAATAGCCAGGACTACAGGCACATGCCATCCCACCTGCTTAATTAAAAACAATTTTTTTTGAAACAGGATCTTTCTATGTTGCCCAGGCTAGTCTTGAACTCCGCCCTCAGCTTTCCAGTAGCTGGGATTACAGCTGCATACCACGGCACCTGCAGTTTCCAGTACTGTTCCAGGATCCGGCATGTGGCAGGTATTTAATACGTTTTGGTAGCCTGCACAAAATCACAGGTCACCATTAAACTATGGGATGCCTGGTTCTAGTTTTATTTCTGTGTTTTTCTTTTTCTTTCTTTTTTTTTTTTTTTTGAGATGGGGTCTCTATCATCCAGGCTGGAGTGTCATGGAGTGATCTGTGCTCACTGCAACCACCACCTCCTGAGTTCAAGAGATTCTCCTGCCTCAGCCTTCCAAGTAGCAGGGACTACAGGCAGATGCCAGCACACCTGGCTAATTTTTTTTTTTTTTTGAGAAGGAGTTTCGCTCTTGTTACCCAGGCTAGAGTGCAATGGCGTGATCTCGGCTCACTACAACCTCCGCCTCCTGGGTTCAAGTGATTATCCTGCCTCAGCCTCCTGAGTAGCTGAGCTTACAGGCATGCCCCACCACGCCCGGCTAATTTTTGTATTTTTAGTAGAGATGGTGTTTCACCATGTTGGTCAGGCTGGTCTCGAACTCCCGACCTCAGGTGATCCGCCCGCCTCAGCCTTCCAAAGTGCTGGGATTACAGGCATAAGCCACCACGCCCAGCCTTAATTTTTGTATTTTTAGTAGAGACAGGGTTTCATCATGTTAGCCAGGCTGATGTCCAACTCCTGACCTCAGATGATCCGCACACCTCAGCCTCCCAAAGTACTGGGATTATAGGCATGAGTCACAGCACCTGGCCTCTATGTTTGTTCTTGATTATGCTTTGGTTATGGGTCAGACTGCTTCAAACAGTGAGTTTCCCAAAGCTCAGGACAGAACATCTCCAGATTTGCAAGCAGAGAATCCTCTACTAGCCTGTCTGCAGAGGAGGTGCAGCTCCATCCTGGAAGGTCTGTTTTAAAGGACCAGGTGGCACCTGCTCTCTTTCATACCCCAGCCTAGATCCTGAGGGGCTGAGATCCCGGAGGCCAGCTGGGGGTGGCTCTGGGGCTATGTACCTACTCTGATTCACTTCCCACTGGCTCTGACAGTGGAAGGAAAAGCAGACTGGCAGGGGCCAGGGCCAAAGGATTAGACCGGCAAGCCCAGCCTCACTATAGTCTGCAGCTTCAGAAACCCCTGAGATGCCTACCACCAGCCTGGGGAGAGGGGCCTCATCTGCCTACCTCTTTCTAAGCAGAGGAAATGCCCAGGATATGGGGGAAATGCTCCAGGACCATGAGGGATACCAAAAGAATCTTTCCTTCCAGCCCGTGAGTCCCCATTTCTCACACCTGCACCGGCAGCAAGGGAGGCCTCACTGGCTGGCAGATTTGAGGATTCAGCCAGGGCAGAAAGTCTGTGAGTCCCCTGGCTCTAAAATTTAAGAGGTAGCAACTGGTTAGGGAAGCTGTTGTGGGGAGGGCTGGAGGCCCGTGGTGCCTCCTCTCCGCTGGCCACAGCACTCTGTAAGTGGGAAGCTGTGGGTTCTCAACCAGGGCTCCACCAATGCACTCAGCAGACACAGCACCTCTATCATGTTATATGACAAATATTACAAGCATGTGTATTTTTTTTTTTTTTTTTTTGTGAGACAGTCTCGCTCTGTCACCCAGGCTGAAGTGAAGTGGCATGATCTCAGCTCACTGCAACCTCT